CTGAAAACTGTCGAAAATATGGACGTCGAGGAACGAATGGAAATAAAACACGTGTTAAAGTTGCATTCGCAAAACTCAGAACTCTGGGTAGCTCATAATGTGATCGATTGGAAACTTAATAAAGAAAAGATCCTTGTAAAGTTCTCTAATCGTTTTGGAAAAATTATTTTCCGTTGCGGGGGTCAATTGCAATCATTTTTGGTGAACAGACATACCCCCGAAATCTTGCGCATTTTCGAAAAAAAAATTCTTTACCGAAAATGCATCCCTGAAATTTCATGCGAATCTTTAAAACATCATAACCCCTGAACGGATCGGTGGATCTTAATGTTTAAAAAGGCAAACGACGCGTATTTTAATGGAGAATATGTAGAGATTCCAAAAATATTCGAAAATTTGTTCCTTAACCCTGTAAAATGAAGAAAAAAACCCCTAAAAACGGTCCAATTTTCAAAAGGCCATAATTCCTACAATAGTAAAGGTGTCGCATTGAAATTTTTTTCTGAAATAGATCTCATGGGTACCTACAAAAAAGTATTAGACAACTTTTCTGTAGGGCGTTATACAAAATGAAACACGAATTTTTAAGAAAAATCGAAGGGGGTAGGTGCCTAACTAAAAAAAAAATTTCAAATCTTCCTGAAAAAATTATTTTCGGTTGCAAGGGTGAATTACAATCATTTTTGTTCATTAGACATACCCTCGAAATCCTACCCACTTTCGAGAAAAAAATTCGAGAAGATGTGAAATTTTTCGACGAAATTAAAAAATTTCAAATTCTTCTAAAAAAATTATTTTCGGTTACAGAGGTCAATTACAATAATTTTTGGTGAATAGACCTACCCCCGAAATCCTATCCACTTTCGAGAAAAAAATTCCACAACGAAAATATAATCAGAGGCCTGAGAAATGGTTCCCCGAAATTTCATGCGAATCTTTAAAATGTCATAACTCCTGAACGGATTGGACGATTTTAAAGTTTCAAAATGCAAACGGCGCGTATTTTAGTGGAGAATATGTAGAGATTCCAAAAATATTCGAAAATTTGTTCCTTAACCCTGTAAAATGAAGAAAAAAACCCCTAAAAACGGTCCAATTTTCAAAAGGCCATAATTCCTACAATAGTAAAGGTGTCGCATTGAAATTTTTTTCTAAAGTAGAACTCATGGGTACCTACAAAAAAGTATTAGACAACTTTTCTGTAGGGCGTTATACAAAATGAAACACGAATTTTTAAGAAAAATCGAAGGGGGTAGGTGCCTAACTAAAAAAAAAATTTCAAATCTTCCTGAAAAAATTATTTTCGGTTGCAAGGGTGAATTACAATCATTTTTGTTCATTAGACATACCCTCGAAATCCTACCCACTTTCGAGAAAAAAATTCGAGAAGATGTGAAATTTTTCGACGAAATTAAAAAATTTCAAATTCTTCTAAAAAAATTATTTTCGGTTACAGAGGTCAATTACAATAATTTTTGGTGAATAGACCTACCCCCGAAATCCTATCCACTTTCGAGAAAAAAATTCCTCAACGAAAATATAATCAGAGGCCTGAGAAATGGTTCCCCGAAATTTCATGCGAATCTTTAAAATGTCATAACTCCTGAACGGATTGGACGATTTTCAAGTTTCAAAATGCAAACGGCGCGTATTTTAGTGGAGAATATGTAGAGATTCCAAAAATATTCGAAAATTTGTTCCTTAACCCTGTAAAATGAAGAAAAAAACCCCTAAAAACGGTCCAATTTTCAAAAGGCCATAATTCCTACAATAGTAAAGGTGTCGCATTGAAATTTTTTTCTAAAGTAGAACTCATGGGTACCTACAAAAAAGTATTAGACAACTTTTCTGTAGGGCGTTATACAAAATGAAACACGAATTTTTAAAAAAAATCGAAGGGGGTAGGTACCTAACTAAAAAAAAAATTTCAAATCTTCCTGAAAAAATTATTTTCGGTTGCAAGGGTGAATTACAATCATTTTTGGTCATTAGACATACCCTCGAAATCCTACCCACTTTCGAGAAAAAAATTCGAGAAGATGTGAAATTTTTCGACGAAATTAAAAAATTTCAAATTCTTCTAAAAAAATTATTTTCGGTTACAGAGGTCAATTACAATAATTTTTGGTGAATAGACCTACCCCCGAAATCCTATCCACTTTCGAGAAAAAAATTCCTCAACGAAAATATAATCAGAGGCCTGAGAAATGGTTCCCCGAAATTTCATGCGAATCTTTAAAATGTCATAACTCCTGAACGGATTGGACGATTTTCAAGTTTCAAAATGCAAACGGCGCGTATTTTAGTGGAGAATATGTAGAGATTCCAAAAATATTCGAAAATTTGTTCCTTAACCCTGTAAAATGAAGAAAAAAACCCCTAAAAACGGTCCAATTTTCAAAAGGCCATAATTCCTACAATAGTAAAGGTGTCGCATTGAAATTTTTTTCTGAAGTAGATCTCATGGGTACCTACAAAAAAGTATTAGACAACTTTTCTGTAGGGCGTTATACAAAATGAAAAACGAATTTTTAAGAAAAATCGAAGGGGGTAGGTGCCTAACTAAAAAAAAAATTTCAAATCTTCCTGAAAAAATTATTTTCGGTTGCAAGGGTGAATTACAATCATTTTTGTTCATTAGACATACCCTCGAAATCCTACCCACTTTCGAGAAAAAAATTCGAGAAGATGTGAAATTTTTCGACGAAATTAAAAAATTTCAAATTCTTCTAAAAAAATTATTTTCGGTTACAGAGGTCAATTACAATAATTTTTGGTGAATAGACCTACCCCCGAAATCCTATCCACTTTCGAGAAAAAAATTCCTCAACGAAAATATAATCAGAGGCCTGAGAAATGGTTCCCCGAAATTTCATGCGAATCTTTAAAATGTCATAACTCCTGAACGGATTGGACGATTTTCAAGTTTCAAAATGCAAACGGCGCGTATTTTAGTGGAGAATATGTAGAGATTCCAAAAATATTCGAAAATTTGTTCCTTAACCCTGTAAAATGAAGAAAAAAACCCCTAAAAACGGTCCAATTTTCAAAAGGCCATAATTCCTACAATAGTAAAGGTGTCGCATTGAAATTTTTTTCTGAAGTAGATCTCATGGGTACCTACAAAAAAGTATTAGACAACTTTTCTGTAGGGCGTTATACAAAATGAAAAACGAATTTTTAAGAAAAATCGAAGGGGGTAGGTGCCTAACTAAAAAAAAAATTTCAAATCTTCCTGAAAAAATTATTTTCGGTTGCAAGGGTGAATTACAATCATTTTTGTTCATTAGACATACCCTCGAAATCCTACCCATTTTCGAGAAAAAAATTCCTTAACGAAAATGCTTCCCTGAAATTTCATGCAAATCTTTAAAACATCATAACCCCTGAACGGATCGGTGGATTTTAATGTTTAAAAAGGCAAACGACGCGTATTTTAATGGAGAATATGTAGAAATTCCAAAAATATTCGAAAAGTTGATGCTTCACCCCGCAAAATGAGAAAACCCCCATAAAACATGGTCCAATTTTCAAACTGCCATAACTCTTACAATAGTCGACGGATTTCATTGAAATTTGAAGGGGAACTAGAGCTCATGGATATCTGCAAAAAAGTATTAAACAACTTTTCTGTACAGCGCCAACCAAATTTATTAAAAATGAAAAACGAATTTTTAAGAAAAATCGATAGGGGGTAGGTACCAATATTTTTGAAATCGTTCTAAAAAAATTATTTTTGATTGCAGGGGTTAATTACAATCATTTTTGGTCATTAGACATATCGTTGAAATTCTACCCACTTTCGGGGAAAAAATTCAAGAAGTTGTGAAATTTTTCCACGGGGAAAAAAGGTTTAACGGCCCGCGCGATTCCTCGCCAGTAGCAGTACTGCGATGTCACCGCCAGGTGGCGAAGCTTCTCGCGAGAGAATTGCATCATCGCGGATGTATATGTCAGGACTGGTTCGAGATATTCAAAGCATATTTTTTTCAATACGAAAGTGTATTCATTTTGAATTACACAACATTTAAACGTGTTTTATTTCCAAACACGTCTCGAAATGTACTCGCATCTCGTCCAAAGCACAAGATGGTGGAAAATTTGCATATTGTTGGTGGATCGTTGAATCTTAGGAAAGAAAATGGGTCTGATCGAAGATCAGAGACGCTGAAATCATTGAACATTGTTCCTCTACCATTATTTTCTGTGCAACGTTTCCGAGGCGTTGATTTCGGGATGAAATTCATCCCCATTTTTCAAGGATGACCGAGAGCTCCATCAGTGACCGAGTGACATTTAGCCGAACAACCAGGATCCCTATATTCGCGTTTCGCCGTTATTCTGAAATCATTCGCGTATTCTCTGCCCTCGAATTGGCCGATTTTTCGGCTATCTGTCGATTCTTTGATCATGATCGGAGGCGACGGTGGCACGGATAACGCTCTCCTTTCCGTGCGTTTCAGTCCGGGTTAAAAATGGTTTTTAATTTGCAGCGATGGCAGTTCCCGGAAGTCAACCGGGGAACTTCTTCGCCGGAATCGAAAGTTGTGAAAAAAATATATGGGTTCGATGATAATGGAAATGCTCTTTGTCGTTACGATAGTTGATACACCGAACCTTTCATAGTTGCTTTCTGTCGGGAGAAACCACGCATGACTAAACGCTTCTGTTTTCGATTTGAGACTTTCATTGAATTACTTCCGAAAGAGATTTGTATCGACAGTAACACGGCTAAGCGGTTCAGACATATTTAAAAATGCATGATTATGAAGATAAGTTTTACATAATAAAAGATTTTTCATTTTTTCGATTCAAATGAAATTAACGTTTACACGAAATAAAATCAAGATAAATGTAAGTTAAAATTAACATACGGTAAATAAAACGAATTTTGCAACGAGGATTTTATTTTAGTATTACCGTAGGCATGATCTGACTAGAGTAATTATTATTTTAAGCATTTTTATTCTCCGTGGTCTTATGGTTCTTTGATGTTGCAGCAATGCCGATGGAACCTGTCGGTTTTCCACAAATGGGCGTTGGGCTTCAAGGTGGCCTGCAATTGGTCAGAGATCCAACGACGGGTCATCTTCTTCTCATTCATGCTGCAGGTATTTATCAACAATTTTGCATAAATAACAGATAAATAAACAACAAAATTTCGGGAATTTAAATCAATAAATAATAGTGAAATTTCATTTATTTGACCTTGAATTAAAATTTATTTAACCATTAACACTTTACCGACCGATAGCCTATTAATCGACTGTTTTACCGACCAACGCTTACCGACCGATAATCAACCGCTACCGGTCGGTAAAGTGTTAACAAAATTTCAGGAATTTAAATCAATAGATAATATTGAAATTTCATTTATTTGACCTGCTTTTGTCTGCTTTCATGAAGTAAGAATTTGTATTTATTATTATTAGTCACATATTGTTTTTAAAAATTCTTTTTCTAGTCAGAAATCATTGTTATTTCACATAAGTTTAATTGAGAAATATTTTATGCATTTTATAATTTCTTCTATCTACACTTTTTTTTGCCATTATTGTGAATAGTTTTTATATTTTTATTGTACAATTATGCTAACCTTAAAGAGGATCAGTAATCGACTGAAACATTGAATTAATGAATACTATTGAATTAATAAAATGAATATTATTGAATTTATAAAATGAATATTATTGAATTCATATGAATTTAATAATTTTTATAATAAACATGTATTTCAGAATAGAGTGGATTTTTGAAAACCAATAAATATCACATTTTCGATACAATTTTAATTCTTACACGGTTTCATCGTATCTTAAAATAGTTGGAATGACAATTTTTCACGAACAGAACAAATGCAGCAGGCAGTAGTGTGGCCAAATTACTCGAATCACAATAACGGAAACGTTGCACCGCCGCCTCTTCTACTTCCGCCGCCGCCACCCTCTCTTCAGCTTCTCGGCGACATCGGTGGAGCAAGGTTGGTCCTCACGGAAAGTAAAAGGAAGCAACAGAGCACTCTGCCTATTGTCAAGATAGAAGCTGACTGTGGCAACAGCCCCACCACCATAATCAGTTAGTTTTATCATCTTTCTACCTTTCTGTTTTATGGGAGAGACTATGTAACCCTAAGGGGAAACAATAAATCCATACTACTACTACTACTACCTTTCTGTTTTATGAAGAAATTCAAATTAAGCTAACTTAGATTAAATTAAAATTGACCTAACCCAGACCTAACCAAGACCTAACCCACTACCATAATCAGTGAGTTTTACCATTTTTCTACCTTTCTGTTTGATGAACAAATTAAAATTAACCTAAGTAACTTAAATTAAAATTGACCTAACCCAGACCTAAGCAGACCTAACCCAGACATAACCCACCACCATAATCAGTTAGTTCTACTATCTTTCTACAATTCTGTTTTATGAAGAAATTAAAATTAACCTAACTTAAATTAAAATTGACGTAACTCAGACCTAACCCACCACCATAATCTGTGAGTTTTACCATTTTTCTACCTTTCTGTTTTATGAAGAAATTAAAATTAACCTAACTAACTTAAATTAAAATTGACCTAACCCAGACCTAACCTAGATCTAACCCAGATCTAACCCAGACCTAATCCAGACCAATTCATCGCTGATAACGGGGGTTAGGTCTGGGTTAGGTTTGGGTTAGGTCTGGATTAGGTCTAGATTAGGTCTGGGTTAGGTCTGGATTAGATCTAGATTAGGTCTGGGTTAGGTCTGGGTTAGGTCTGGATTAGATCTAGATTAGGTCTGGGTTAGGTCTGGGTTAGGTCTGGATTAGATCTAGATTAGGTCTGGGTTAGGTCTGGATTAGATCTAGATTAGGTCTGGGTTAGGTCTGGGTTAGGTCTGGATTAGATCTAGATTAGGTCTGGGTTAGGTCTGGATTAGATCTAGATTAGGTCTGGGTTAGGTCTGGATTAGATCTAGATTAGGTCTGGGTTAGGTCTGGGTTAGGTCTGGATTAGATCTAGATTAGGTCTGGGTTAGGTCTGGGTTAGGTCTGGATTAGATCTAGATTAGGTCTGGGTTAGGTCTGGATTAGATCTAGATTAGGTCTGGGTTAGGTCTGGGTTAGGTCTGGATTAGATCTAGATTAGGTCTGGGTTAGGTCTGGGTTAGGTCTGGATTAGATCTAGATTAGGTCTGGGTTAGGTCTGGATTAGATCTAGATTAGGTCTGGGTTAGGTCTGGATTAGATCTAGATTAGGTCTGGGTTAGGTCTGGATTAGATCTAGATTAGGTCTGGGTTAGGTCTGGATTAGATCTAGATTAGGTCTGGGTTAGGTCTGGATTAGATCTAGATTAGGTCTGGGTTAGGTCTGGGTTAGGTCTGGCTTAGGTCTGGGTTAGGTCTGGAATAAGTCTGAATTAAGTCTGGGTTAGGTCTGGGTTAGGTCTTAATTTACTCTTAAAAAGACGAGTTTGCTAATTAGAAAATATAATTCTTCTTCCAGACCTAACCCAGACCTAACCCAGACCTAACCCAGACTTATTCCAGACCTAACCCAGACCTTACCCAGACCTAACCCAGACCTAACCCAGACCTAACCCAGACCTAACCCAGACTTAATTCAGACTTATTCCAGACCTAACCCAGACCTAACCCAGACCTAACCCAGACCTAACCCAGACTTATTCCAGACCTAACCCAGACCTAACCCAGACCTAACCCAGACCTAACCCAGACCGAACCCAGACCTAACCCAGACCTAACCCTGACCTAACCCAGACCTAACCCAGACTTATTCCAGACCTAACCCAGACCTAACCCAGACCTTACCCAGACCTAACCCAGACCTAACCCAGACCTAACCCAGACTTAATTCAGACTTATTCCAGACCTAACCCAGACCTAACCCAAACACTTTTGTGATTGGTTGCCCTTGAAATCGTGATCGTCGTCATAAAACAAGAAAATATGACATTTCTATTACATTAACACTTTGACAGTCTAAAATCCTAAAATTGTCAATGAGACCAAAACTTTGATTTCAGACAATTGTTAATTACACAACTTGAAAGTTGTCCTACCAGTTACTTTGGTAATCTCGTTAAAATTTACGAAGCCTATTAAAATTGATTTTCTTTAACATTTTAACTTCAAAATTAATTGTTTTAGTTTCACTGTTAAAACTTCTGTGACCCACGTATGGTTCACGTGGCAGTCAAAGTGTTAAACAAAGTGTATCGCTGTCGTATAATTTTAGTATCTCCTTGAATTCGTCGTTTTACATATTGCGAGGATTTAGAAACTAAATTTAGAATTTTTTGTTTCATATTAGTCGAATATTTCCGAATTTCTGGTTCGTTTACACCCTAATTCTCTACCTTTTGGGTTCTGTTTTAGACACTCTCTGGAACTGCGATAATAGATGAAAAAATCTATGCAAAATCTAAAATTGATCAGACAAGTAAATGTCGTGAAGGTCTGGGTTAGGTCTGAGTTTAGATTTGGGTTAGGTCTGGATTAAGTTCTGTGACCCACATATGGGTCACGTGGCAGTCAAAGTGTAAATAGTATTAGGTGACGAGTTTCGTCTTAGAAATTTAATCACTTACAGTCTGTCGAAAGTAAAGAGACAAAAAGATCACCTTACGATTTTCTAGATTTTATTAGAATGAGTGCCCAATATGTACAGTTAAAAAATCAGCCAAATTCCAAGCTCGAAGTACTGTAAATATACTGAAGATTATATGTAATCTCCGTTTTAAAGAATCTCGACGATAATTGTTCCCTGAATAACGATGAAATCCGAAATTTTATAGCTTCGACCGAATCAACGAAGGCGTTGCAGACCGTGACCTCGATGACAGGAGCCATAGTACCAGACACACCCTTGGTAACCACTCTCCACTATTATCCACATGCGCCAGCATTGGTCCAAATCAGTCAGGCCGAACCAATGCACTGCAGATCACAGGTAAGTCGACTTTCTTCCATTTTGTCGTTCCCATTTGCTTAGACACCTTTCTGGTTGTCGCTTCCATTGTTCCACGTGTTCAAAAATGGACGAAATCTCTATAAAAATATTAAAGAACCAACTAATGAAGATAATCAACTTTCTATTCGTTACTGTACAAAAAGTTTAAAGTAATAATTTGTAATTTTTATTAATTTGCCAGTGAACTTTAACTAATATCTTCTTTATTCTTCTTTATTCTTCTTTCATTTTTTAAATTTCTAGAAATGTCATGATTATTTTTGACTTTATTTCAGTTTAAAGTAATAATTATAAGTATTTCTTATATTCTTGCATATTAACTGAATTCTCTAGTTTCTTGAGAATTAAAATTCCCCCATAAATGCATAAACATCCCTAGTCTAAGATATCACAAACTAAAAAATTGCTAAACACAACAACAATGTAAATAAAAAACAGATATTGAATATCTCTGTTCCTCTGCTTCTTCAAATAACCCTAATTTTTACGCTTAAAAGCAGGGGGAGCCGCTGTCGATAAAATTGAGGTTAACCTCTTAACGTTCATGCCCGAGTCTAACTTTGAAAACTAATATTTGTTTAATTCAGGGATGATAATATTATACGTTAGATGCAACATTGTAATTAACAAAAAACCGTATTTTTAGAGAGAAATCCAACAAAGAAAACTGATCATTGTTAACCTAAAAAATATGAGCGTTAAGGGGTTAGAATTACTGCCTAACACAGTATTTGACTCGAATGTCCTGCTCGTAGCAGCGAAATTCGTTTCTGTCGAAGGCCACGTCACCCGTGTCGTGTCTCACGCCGCCACCGGAGGTGACCACGATCCACGCGATCGAGCCACCGGAAGTGACGCCGATCGTGGGCGTCCAGGACGCCTCGAACCAGACGGACGCGCCGGAACCGGAGGACCAAGAGCCATTGGTGGACACGTGCGTGAAACAGGAGCAGAATCTCAGCCCCTGTCAGCTACAGAACCCTGGAAACCTGACCACCACCACTACCAACATGACGAACATGACCAACTACGAGATCGTGGCTGCAGCGCCGGAGAAGGTGTGCAACGTTGTTCGAATAACGACCACAACGACCACCGTGAACCCTGCAGTGTGCAGCTTCGTTGGTAAAGTGGATAAAGCTGAGAACACGATCATCAACATGGCGGACTGTCCGAAGTACTCGATCACGAAGGAGTGCAGGAGCGTCACTGCGATCGACAGGACCATCGAGCACGTGGTTGCCAGACCTATGGACAGGGAACAAGAGGACAAGGGGCACGTGGACGAGGCGAACAACGAGGAGGAAGGGCTGACTTGCAGGGACGTGAGGACCGGGCCAAGGATCATCGAGATCACCGAGGAGAATTGCGACAGCTTTCACGAGAACCTCGAGTTCTTTGGGAGGAGGAGGGATCACTCGTTGGATCGTCATCGGGACAGGAAGAGAAGCTATGCAGCGGAGTCTGTCGCGAGGGAAATGGAGAATTACGATGAAACTGTTGCTGACAAGTGTGAGGTGAGGAATGATATTTCTTCTTTTTGAGAAAACGCTAATTTCTGGGAAGATTTAGACAATTCTACGAAAAAATATAAGCTTGGAGGTTAAGACTACTTGCAATAATGGACCTCTCTGCAACTCTGTGTTTCCATATTTCTTCAACGAAGTTTATTGCACATAACTTATTTAAGAACCATTTTGATAACAACTTTTGCAACTAAGAATTGCCCTCTATTCTGTACTTTGTAACTGAAGTTCGAATGTAAGGTTACAAAAGCGTCCTTATGGAAATTCATTCGATTAATTTAACATAACCTCCAACGTAATATTTGTTTGCATATGCATTCGCTGATGTAGTTTGAGTGATAGTTTACTATAGTGATGATTCTTACGATACACCCCAGACCTAACCCAGACTTAATTCATCGCTGATAACGGGGGTTAGGTCTGGGTTAGGTCTGGATTAAGTCTGGGTTAGGTCTGGGTTAGGTCTGGAATACGTCTGAATTAAGTCTGGGTTAGGTCTGGGTTAGGTCTGGGTTAGGTCTGGATTAAGTCTGGGTTAGGTCTGGGTTAGGTCTGGAATACGTCTGAATTAAGTCTGGGTTAGGTCTGGGTTAGGTCTGGGTTAGGTCTGGGTTAGGTCTGGGTTAGGTCTGGGTTAGGTCTGGATTAGGTCTGGGTTAGGTCTGGATTAAGTCTGGGTTAGGTCTGGATTAAGTCTGGGTTAGGTCTGGAATACGTCTGAATTAGGTCTGGGTTAGGTCTGGGTTAGGTCTGGGTTAGGTCTGGATTAGGTCTGGGTTAGGTCTGGGTTAGGTCTGGATTAGGTCTGGGTTAGGTCTGGGTTAGGTCTGGGTGAGGTCTGGGTTAGGTCTGGAATACGTCCGAATTAAGTCTGGGTTAGGTCTGGGTTAGGTCTTAATTTACTCTTAAAAAGACGAGTTTGCTAATTAGAAAATCTAATTTTTCTTCCAGACCTAACCCAGACCTAACCCAGACTTAATCCAGACCTAACCCAGACCTAACCCAGACTTAATTCAGACGTATTCCAGACCTAACCCAGACCTAACCCAGACTTAATCCAGACCTAACCCAGACCTAACCCAGACTTAATTCAGACGTATTCCAGACCTAACCCAGACCTAACCCAGACTTAATCCAGACTTAATCCAGACCTAACCCAGACCTAACCCAGACTTAATTCAGACGTATTCCAGACCTAACCCAGACCTAACCCAGACTTATTCCAGACCTAACCCAGACCTAACCCAAACTTAATCCAGACCTAACCCAGACCTAACCCAGACCTAACCCAGACCTAACCCAGACTTAATCGAGACCTAACCCAGACCTAACCCAAACCTAACCCAGACCTAATCCAGACCTAACCCAGACCTAATCCAGACCTAACCCAGACCTAACCCAGACCTAACCCAAACCTAACACAGACCTAACCCAGACCTAATCCAGACTTAACCCAGACCTAACCCAGACCTAACCAGACCTAACTAACTAATGTTCATCGTTTTCCAGGCTGAGTTGCCCAAAGTCGAGGACCTGGAAGCTGCAGAGCTACACAGACATGGGAATCCCGCGCTGCCTGAAATCACCAACGACGATGCACAAAAACAGCCAGAGGAGCCAGTCGAGTCGAAGGTAGCGGTTGCTGTCAGTTGTGAGAGCTATGGAAAGAGTCGTGAGGATCATTCGCTGGCGTATCAGTCGTCTGGTCGTCCACAAATAACCGTAAAGTCGTTCGACATGCCCAACATCGACTGCGAGGACCAAGAGGTCGAGAAAATAGTGATCAAGCAAGAGGCTAGCGAGACAGCGTACGAGGATTGCGCGTACAAGTGCGAGGCGACGTCCACCACCGAGAAACCGAAGTGTCAGGACTGGGTGAAGAGGCATTCGGTCGAGAAGAGTCATCCTGGGATCGAGAACGTGGTAGAGAAACTGAAGAAGAACGCTGCTGCAGCTTTGCAAGAAGCTGCGCCTCAAAAAATCGAGGATCTGAAGGACAGAACCGCGGAGAGTCTGCGTTCGAGAAGACACTCCGAGACTACACCAAGAAAATTGGAGAATGGCTTGAAGAAACATATACTAAGGTCTTGTGAGAACGCTCAGTTCATGGATCAACATGAGATTCCAAGGGAGCCAGAGGTTTCCTCGACGGAGGCGCAGAACTCGAGTCTTCCTATACACCTGACATCCACGGAGCATACATTGCCCAGAGAGTACTTCCTAAACGACAACAACAACGACACCAGGAGCAACAACAACAACATCAAGGCAGTCGATGGTAAAGAGCTGGTCGTGAAGAAGGAGAAGATCTCGTCGCCTGTCTGTTTCAACAGCGACGCGGTCACCCCGAAGAAACACCGACGAATGGACGCCCCAGAAGAGACTTACGCCTTGTCATCTGACAATCAAACTTCCAAATCGAGGGTCAGCCCCAAGCAGAAGCCTACGGTCGATATAAGCGGGCTGGAGCTGCTCTCGAACAGCATCGAGCAGTTGGAACAGCTGAAACCAGATGCTCAGAGCGCTACCACCGCGGCTGACATTGAGAAATCGCCTGTCAGGACCAAGTTGATCTCTCCGCCGGGGGAGAGCAACAACAACAACGTGGATAGTCCGTTGGGGTTGTTGTGTGCTCTCGCGGAGCAGAGGTTCATGGAAGAGGTGGTCGACAAGGTGCCCAGGAAGCTGAATCTCGAGAGCTCTGAGGAGATCTCTCACGCTGGTAGGTTGTTGCTGAACTTGGGGAGGGTAAATCACTTGGAGAAGGAGGGGAAGATGAAGATGTCGGACAAGAGGAAGTATGTTGGACCAGACGATGAGGATTATAAGAGTTCGAAGAGATTGAAAGTCAACGATGAGTCTGAGGATGAGGAGTCCAAATGCGAGGCAAGGTTGCAGAGGAACATGGTATTTAGGGTCAAAGAGTCGACGAGGAGGAGCATAGACTTCTCAGAGAGAAACGGTGTCAACGAAGATGAAGACGAAGAAGAAGAAGAAGAAGTGATGTTGAAAGACAATCCTGCTAGCAAGAGTAGGATGTACGAGGATTCAGATTATGAAAGGATCGAAGATTTTGAGCACTATGATCACCACTATGACGAGTATCGAATGAACGGTGCTTACTGCGAGAAAGAGTCTGTCGAGTACAATCTTTCTGATTCTGATTTGAAGACGTACAGTCAGCTAGCTTACTCGAAGTCGATGCTGATGGAGGAGAGCAACAGGGACATGAAGAGAAGGTTTTCAGCAGGTGAACAACGCGACTGCCACGATTACAGGAACTTGCAAGCGAAATTGGATGCGAAGAAGTTCATCGCTAGGAAGGGACATATGGATAACGATGCTGATTGGCCTAACATGGACGCCATGGAGCTGGACATGAGGGTCAGACTGGCTGATATTCAGAGGCAGTACAGAGAGAAGCAGAAAGAGTTGTCCAAATTGACTCCTAAGAAGGATGAGAAGAAGAGTCCAGGCAGACCTCGAAAGAAGAGCCATTCTTACAGGTGAATTTTTCTATTCTAACTTTGGTTTTCATTTGAGAGTCACTTGAGAGCTTTCTTTGAACAGTTTTGAAATTGCAACACTTGAGTGCAGTACACAGCCTTGCCATTTAACACTTTACCGACCGATTAATCGACTGTTTTACCGGCCAACGCTTACCGACCGATAGCCTATTAATCAACTGTTTTATCGGTCGGTAAGCGTTGGTCGGTAAAAAAGTTGATTAATACGCTATCGGTCGGTAAGCGTTGGTCGGTAAAACAGTCGATTAACAGACCTAACCCAGACATAACCCAGGCATAACCCAGACCTAACCCAGATCTAACTCAGACCTAGGTTTGTTAGGTTGGGTTAGGTCTGGGTTAGGTCTGAGTTAGATCTGGGTTAGGTCTGGAATAAGTCTGAATTAAGTCTGGTTTAGGTCTGGGTTAGGTCTGGGTTAGGTCTAGGTTAGGACTGAATTAAATCTGGGTTAGGTCTGGGTTAGGTCTGAATTAAGTCTTGGTTAGGTCTGGGTTAGGTCTGGGTTAGGTCTGAATTAAACTGGGTTAGGTCTGGGTTAGGTCTGGGTTAGGTCTAGGTTAGGACTGAATTAAGTCTGGGTTAGGTCTGGGTTAGGTCTGGGTTAGGTCTGAATTAAGTCTTGGTTAGGTCTGGGTTAGGTCTGGGTTAGGTCTGAATTACACTGGGTTAGGTCTGGGTTAGGTCTGGGTTAGGTCTGGGTTAGGTCTGGGTTAGGTCTGAATTAAACTGGGTTAGGTCTGGGTTAGGTCTGGGTTAGGTCTGAGTTAGGTCTGGGTTAGGTCTGAATTAAACTGGGTTAGGTCTAGGTTAGGTCTGGGTTAGGACTGAATTAAGTCTGGGTTAGGTCTGGGTTAGGTCTGGGTTATTTTATTCTTTTATATATATATATGTAAAAGAATAAAATACATGCTTTCTCGGTAGAAATCTTCTGGATAACCCTAACCCAGACCTAACCCAGACCTAACCCAGACCTAACCCAGACATAACCCAGACCTAACCCAGACCTAACCCAGACTTATTCCAGACCTAACCCAGACCTAACCCAGACCTAACCCAGACCTAACCCAGACTTATTCCAGACCTAACCCAGACCTAACCCAGACCTAACCCAGACCTAACCCAGACCTAACCCAGATCTAATCCAGATCTAATCCAGATCTAATCCAGACCTAACCCAGATCTAACCCAGACCTAACCCAGACCTAACCCAGATCTAATCCAGATCTAATCCAGACCTAACCCAGACTTAATTCAGACTTATTCCAGACCTAACCCAGACCTAACCCAGACATAACCCAGACCTATTGATAAATTGCAGTTTCTCAATAAGCTAAAGTAGTACTTGTTATTCGAATCTTTATGCAGTGATACATGTTCTAACAAGTTGTTTATTTTATTTCTGCTCCCTAAATTCATAATATTATAACATAATATTAAAAATTAATTTTATACAAATTTCTTTACACATTAGTTAATCTTTCACGATGCAGTCATTTTGACTGCTTTTGGGCAATATAGGTATATACTAAGTTTCAGTCTTTCTAGTGTTTGCCCAAGGAAGTCATTTTGACTGCTTTAGAATAGGCTATCGGTCGGTAATGTGTTAAAGTAGATTTGATGATTGACGACGAAGTAAGATGGAACCATTTTGGACTTCATTGGTGTAGCCATTAGGTTCAGTATATAGACTATCAAAGAGTAAAGATGGGGTTTTCTGGTGAGACTTAGTCAAAGCTCTTCAGTTCACTCTGTTGTTGTTAGTACCTAGCCCCTGTCAAGTCATCTGTGCTGGTAGCCAAGTCTTGCAATGTTGTATTTGTGTAGTAATGAATCATGTTTGACCTTAACTTTTTAGAATGTTGAAAAGTTTAGAAATGTTTGACTAAGGAAGATTGATGTTTTACAGTTCCGATCATGGCCCACTGGCGTCGCCATCAGCGTTGGAGCAGATGCCTTCTCCGCACAAGTCTCCCTCACGTTCGTCAAATGGATCTCCGCCGCCATTGGCCTCCACTGTCATAGCTATGCCGAGGTGCAACGTGAACTTGGTGAAACTGGGTGAGCCAAGAAGTCACATTAAACTGTTGGACAGTATACCGAGCATTCCGATCCCCGTTCCACCAGTCGCCTCGCCTATCACCGTTCTACCCTCGAGCAAAACGCCGCAGGACGACGATGAGAAAAGCACGGGAAGGGTGAGTTCAAATTCCCAATTCGTTTTGCTTTCATTCCTACATTGCAATTCGAAAGAAAAATCATAGCTTCCAAACTGGTCAATTCTCGACCCAAGACCTCTTAATTTTTTACACACATATTTGTATCGTTTTATTTCAAATCGTGCAATTGGTCATCAAAGTGACTTACAACATTAAGCTTAAACGAGTTTCAAAGAGTATTCGTCGAATTTTTGATACAGATGGGGTATGATACATCATCACCAGCGCCGACCATCGCGAGTTCAAGTTCAGCTTCAAAGAAACGTAAGGTCGGTCGTCCCAGGAAGCTGATGTGCACATCAGGAAGCGTTAGACACCTAACGGAAACGATAGTCGCGAAAAAGCCAAAAAGCAAAAGCTCTTTGGTGGGGTATCTGTTGTCGTCGAAAAACCGACATCTTCAGGCAAAGGTGGGTGATGAACACGACTCATAACTATGATCAAACCGATAAAAACGGTAAAAACATTTTGTTTACAGTACGTTGGTAAGACTGGTTACACGCCATTGCCCTTCAAAACCGGACTATCGTCTCTGAAATCCGCTTCCAAGGGTCACAAGTCCGTCAAATCGAAACCAAAACCTGCAAAACAGACGCCCCTGCACAGCAAGACTGTGATCAGCTCGATAATCGCCGAGAAAGCGAAACTGAGCCAGGAAGTGAAGCTGGAGAAACAGAACAAGATGAAACCGAAACTAAAAGCGGAGGCAAAGGTGAAGACTTGGGAGGATGATGAACCCGCTGCTGTGGTGGAGAACGTGTTACCAGAATCTACCGTGGAGAAACCAGTTGAGGTAACACAACGACAAAAATATAGGGAATTTTTCGTTTCGCTTGATCGTTGAACCTAAAAAGTGGGATTGCTTCTTTGTTGCACACACTGCTTGCGATAATCAAAAAAATCGCGCGTGGCATATTAAATATTACATTCTAGGGACTATTGATGCGTGATTTTGTAAAACAGAAGTACCAACGAATAGAAATTTATTTATTCGAATGAGGTTATGTACTTTCTGACTACGGTGACATTGTTACAGGAAACGCCGGTGGAGTTGCCAGAGGCAACAGAGGCGGAGTGCGAGAAGATCAGGCACGAGAAATCGAAGAAGAAGAAACGGAAGTCCAGCTCGTCGTCACCCTCGCGGCGGAAGTCGACCGATCGCGAGAAGAAAGAATCGAAACGGAGAAAGTCGCTCGAGTGCAAAGAGTGCAAGGAGTGCGCGAAAGCGGCCAGGGCCGAGAAAACGGAAATAGTTAACAAGTGCAAATTAACGTCTGCACACTTGGCCATTGACCAGCTGAGAGTGCTCACGGCGATGGGCGGTCTGTTTTACGCCGGAAGGCTCAGCGCTGTCCAAGCACCGGACGTTTATGCCATTACGCTGGACGGCGAACGGGGTAACAGACCCCACATCCATTCCAGAGAGGAGATACTACGAGACGCGGTAAATTAACTGATGATCCGTTCGGCGTTACGCCACGACGTGTGTTCAGTTTCGACGCAAATTCTCATCCACGCTTGTTTCGTCACCGCAGATCGTGGAAGTATGCCCGAGCTCGACGAAAGAGTTACCACCAGGTACGAGACTCTGTGCCTATTGGAGCCAGCAATACCGATGCTTGTACCCTGGCACATCGGTCGAACCGACCGAACCTGACCCCGAGCTAGACGAAAAGTTCGTTAGCGTGGAGTTCGACGACGGGGACAGCGGAAGAATCGCGTTGGACGATATCAGGTTGCTGCAGCCTGACTATCCTGTCGTTGGTAAGTTTTGTGAATACTGTTTTGCAATGTTTTTAGCCAGTTCTAGGTTAAACGTCGATTTATAACTGTTCGAGCACCGAACAGTTTAAGCTACGGATATCTAAGTGCATGGCACACTTTCTACGGGCCTCTTGATCTCTTTAGTCGTTGTATTCTGTCTGTGTGTTTGATGGAAAAGATGTGGCTTGGTCTTGAGATCAGTATGACGTCGACTTTCGAACCTTTTCAAACTTTTATTATTATTGGTCGCGAGTTCGGTTTCAGTATTTCATATTTTGTGTATAAAGTATTATTTTTAGAGGTTACAATGAATAGCGATGAATGTATCATGAGTGATTTACAGAAAATAGTTCAAATATCTGTCCCGATGAAGCAAAATTTATCCCTCTAGAAATCCATCTCTGTTAACACGTTGACTGCCAGTCTAAAATCCTAAAATTGTCGTAGTAGTTGCTTTCGTAACCTCATTAAAATTTATTTTCTTCAACATTTCAACTTGAGAATTCATTATTGCAGTTCTACTGTTAAAAGTTCTGTCACCCATATATGTATAAAAGAATAAAATAACCCAGACCTAACCCAGACCTAACCCAGACTTAATCCAGACCTAACCCCCGTTATCTGGGTTAGGTCTGGGTTAGGTTTGAGTTAGGTTTGGGTTAGGTCTGGATTAAGTCTGGGTTAGGTCTGGGTTAGGTCTGAATTAAGTCTGGGTTAGGTCTGGGTTAGGTCTGGGTTAGGTTTGGGTTAGGTTTGGGTTAGGTCTTGATTAAGTCTGGGTTAGGTCTGGGTTAGGTCTGGGTTAGGTCTGAATTAAGTCTGGGTTAGGTCTGGGTTAGGTCTGAATTAAGTCTGGGTTAGGTCTGGGTTAGGTCTGAATTAAGTCTGGGTTAGGTCTGGGTTAGGTCTGAATTAAGTCTGGGTTAGGTCTGGGTTAGGTCTGCATTAAGTCTGGGTTAGGTCTGGGTTAAATCTATTTAAAACAAAATATATCTATTCCCTGGGGGAATAAGGTTATCTATAAATCCAGACCTAACCCAGACCTAACCCACACTTAATTCAGACTTATTCCAGACCTAACCCAGACCTAACCCAGACTTAATTCAGACCTAACCCAGACCTAACCCAGACTTAATTCAGACCTAACCCAGACCTAACCCAGACCTAACCCAGACTTAATTCAGACCTAACCCAGACCTAACCCAGACCTAACCCAGACTTAATTCAGACCTAACCCAGACCTAACCCAGACCTAACCCAGACTTAATTCAGACCTAACCCAGACCTAACCCAGACTTAATTCAGACCTAACCCAGACCTAACCCAGACCTAACCCAGACTTAATTCAGACCTAACCCAGACCTAACCCAGACTTAATTCAGACCTAACCCAGACCTAACCCAGACCTAACCCAGACTTAATTCAGACCTAACCCAGACCTAACCCAGACCTAACCCAGACTTAATTCAGACCTAACCCAGACCTAACCCAGACCTAACCCAGATTTAATTCAGACCTAACCCAGACTTAATTCAGACCTAACCCAGACCTAACCCAGACCTAACCCAGACTTAATTCAAACTTATTCCAGACCTAACCCAGACCTAACTGTTGTACTCTCATGAAGATATAATAATACATATAAAAATTATAATTTCCATTAATAGATGAAAGATAAGATCTGCTCGAATCTTATCGCTGTCATCTTGGACATATTAAACAGTGAAGAGATTGATTCCGTAAATTTAATATTCTGTGTGATCTTTAGCGTAGTCAGTAGATTAGTATGTATTTAGTTTCGCATCGAATTACAGAATATGATCCGAATCCTCTATTGTCGCTGGGCAAACGTCGAAGGCAGACGTCTGTATCAACAGAGGACAAACGCTCGTCCAGCAACAATCAACCGTCCACTTCGTTAAACGCGAACAATGCGATCCCCGCTGTTACCTCCACAACATGTTGTTACGTTTCGTCGTCCGATGGACAGTCGTTGGAACGATACAAATCAGACGACATGGACACCAAGGATCTGGAGGAATATCGCGAGAGGAAACGCATGAAGAAGAGAAGGAGGGACAAGTTGAAGAGATTGCAAGAGGCCCAAGAAGGAAAGAAGAAGCACAGAAAGCACAAGTGTTGCGAGGAACACAGGAAACACAAACACAGGAAACACAGAAAACATAAGCACAAGCATAGCCATCATAGCTGTCACAGCGAAGGAAGTCACATAAGGTTTGTTCTTCCAAGTTGTTTCATGCATGATAGGTCAGCAAAATCAAACAAAAATTTCTGAAATTTTAACTCAAATATTATTAAATATTTATCAGCAGTGGGGAAAGTTGTTGCGGCCAGAAGAGTGAGGAGGAATTGGTGAAGGAAACAGTGACGTCAGCAAATGGCGAGGCGGAAGCAGAGGAAGAGACAGTACAGCAAGAGGAGGTTATTATACCGATAAAGGAACCGATCAAGGAGCCCGTCCGCGAGGAGAAGCAAGAGAAACCGAAGAAATCGGACAAGAAGTCAAAAATGCGTGAGCGCCAGGAGTCGGTGGAAAGTCGAAGCAAAATGGCGGCGTTTCTGCCCGCGAGGCAGTTGTGGGGTTGGGCTGGAAAGGGTTACAGGCGACCAGGCGCCAAAGGTAGAGCAAAGAAGCAATTCTTCAGGGCGATTCAGCGTGGAAGCGAAACGATTCAGATTGGCGACAGCGCTGTATTTCTTTCGACCGGGAGACCAGACAGGCCCTACATCGGACGCATCGAATCCATGTGGGAAACCTCGAGCTCGAACATGATCGTCAAAGTCAAATGGTTTTATCATCCCGAGGAGACAGTGGGATGCCCGGCAAATTTGAAATACCCGGTAAGAATGCGATTAATTTTATTAAATAAACGATTCACGTGAAATTTGACGGAATTATGCAGAGTACAAGGTAACCCATAAATGTAAACTTTGGGGATCGATGGAATTTAACCTAAAAGACGAAAATGTTTTAACACTTTACCGACCGGTAGCGGTTGATTAATCGGCTATCGGTCGGTAAGCGTTGGTCGGTAAAACAGTTGATTGATAGGCTATCGGTCGGTAATGTGTTAACAAATGATGGGCCTATTGTCGATAATTTTATAAATATTTCAGTGCCATCCTAATTAATAACTAATATAAATACTAATAAGTGCATTTTGCAAGCATAATTATACGTGTTAATTTTATAGAATATTTCAATCGAGCGGAAGTAAAAAAACATGTAATAATTTACTTAGTCGATATGAAAATATCTGTGTTTTTGCTTTGCGTAATTTCTCGGGTAAAAAACATTTGTAATATGCACTCTAACGGATGAAAAACTTTGTTGCCGATGATGGAGAACATTGTTCGTGTAAAATGTTTTAGAAGAAATGGAGTTCGTTTGAATGTAGTGCTATTAGAGTACGTTAATTTTTAAATAGTCTATAATGTAACACGTTTTATGCATTCTGAAATGATTCATTGCATGTACGAATCGAGAATTTATGTAGAATTAATGCAGTGATTGTTCCAAAAAGAATTTCGATTCTTCGATCACAAGTTACAACTGAATCCATGATTGTTCATCGGTTTTTTAAAAGCCCGCCATGTGCAACAAGTGTCGTTTTGTTTGGTTAATTGTTCATATATCTTCAGAAATTTCTATCGTTCAAAAATTGAATGTTTCAAATTGGTTAGGGGTGGATTTGATCTTCTTTGAAATTGTTTGTAAAGTCTTTGGTGAATTTGGTACGATTCGACTTCATTGTTGCTTCGAAGACAGTTCTGCTTCTGCTTTGTTCTCGAGTTATAACCTTTCTTTATGTTCGAGCAATCTGCTTACGTAGCCTCGCATCAGTTTCGCAAAATGGTGGCCTTTCTTGAAGGTACATATATGTTCGCAGAGGACTCGTCATAAATCTTAACACTTTACCGACCGATAGCGGTTGATTAATCGGCTATCGGTCGGTAAGCGTTGGTCGGTAAAGAAGTTGATTAATACGCTATCGGTCGGTAAGCGTTGGTCGGTAAAAAAGTCGATTAATAGGCTATCGGTCGGTAATGTGTTAACATGAAGTGTAATGATAAATGAAATATTGCAATGGTGCATAACTATAGCACCGCTATAATTTTCAAGAGTTTTGTAGTTTTAACTAATGATTTCTAAATGTTAATAATACCACGTGAAAGGGACTAGAAAAGAATTATAATCAATGGAAAAAATAGAAAAATAACATTTATTTAACGCGAAGTATAATAATAAATGAAATATTGCAATGGTGCATAACTATAGCACCGCTATAATTTTCAAGAGTTTTGCAGTTGTAACTAATGATTTCTAAATGTTAATAATACCACGTGAAAGGGACTAGAAAAGAATTATAATCAATGGAAAAAATAGAAAAATAACATTTATTTAACACTTTACCGACCGGTAGCGGTTGATTAATCGGCTATCGGTCGGTAAGCGTTGGTCGGTAAAGAAGTTGATTAATACGCTATCGGTCGGTAAGCGTTGGTCGGTAAAACAGTCGATTAATAGGCTATCGGTCGGTAATGTGTTAAGATGCAGTCGACAATTCCAAAAATTATTTTAATTAACATGTTGATTACGTTAACAAAGTGTTTCAATGTCCAAATCTAGAGGTTAAGTGGATGAAGCGATAAGGTCTGCATGACGTATCAATTTGTCAACAAATTGGTCATTAGAGAATTATTCAGTTACATAACTAAACTGCGTCCTTCTGAAGGAAAGAAATTGTCAATTCTCGTAGAACACTACGAGGTAGCATTTCTACTTGTTAGCACGATCATACGTGAAATATAAAATGACGTTCCTAAACTTAATCATTAGAACATAAAATTGACTATAATTCAGGAACTAAGCAAAGTAAATCATACCTTTATATGAACTTTTATTTTTCGGTGTTAAATTTATCCATAAAGCTTTACTTATTAAAATATTTGCAAGTTTGTACAAATTTGTGTATTTTATAAAGTGGTTCTCGATTTAAAAAGAAGATCTATTGGCAAATCGTGTCAAACAGTGTTACATAAAAGGTCAGGATCATGTTTCATCAGATGCTGCATATTAATGAAGTAGAAAGTACTCTGAGCCAATACTTAACACCTTACCGACCGGTAGCGGTTGATTAATCGGCTATCGGTCGGTAAGCGTTGGTCGGTAAAGAAGTTGATTAACACGCTATCGGTCGGTAAGCGTTGGTCGGTAAAACAGTCGATTAATAGGCTATCGGTCGGTAATGTGTTAACATGAAGTGTAATGATAAATGAAATATTGCAATGGTGCATAACTATAGCACCGCTATAATTTTCAAGAGTTTTGTAGTTGTAACTAATGATTTCTAAATGTTAATAATACCACGTGAAAGGGACTAGAAAAGAATTATAATCAATGGAAAAAATAGGAAAATAACATTTATTTAACGCGAAGTATAATAATAAATGAAATATTGCAATGGTGCATAACTATAGCATCGCTATAATTTTCAAGAGTTTTGTAGTTGTAACTAATGATTTCTAAATGTTAATAATACCACGTGAAAGGGACTAGAAAAGAATTATAATCAATGGAAAAAATAGGAAAATAACATTTATTTAACGTGAAGTATAATAATAAATGAAATATTGCAATGGTGCATAACTATAGCACCGCTATAATTTTCAAGAGTTTTGCAGTTGTAACTAATGATTTCTAAATGTTAATAATACCACGTGAAAGGGACTAGAAAAGAATTATAATCAATGGAAAAAATAGAAAAATAACATTTATTTAACACTTTACCGACCGGTAGCGGTTGATTAATCGGCTATCGGTCGGTAAGCGTTGGTCGGTAAAGAAGTTGATTAATACGCTATCGGTCGGTAAGCGTTGGTCGGTAAAACAGTCGATTAATAGGCTATCGGTCGGTAATGTGTTAAGATGCAGTCGACAATTCCAAAAATTATTTTAATTAACATGTTGATTACGTTAACAAAGTGTTTCAATGTCCAAATCTAGAGGTTAAGTGGATGAAGCGATAAGGTCTGCATGACGTATCAATTTGTCAACAAATTGGTCATTAGAGAATTATTCAGTTACATAACTAAACTGCGTCCTTCTGAAGGAAAGAAATTGTCAATTCTCGTAGAACACTACGAGGTAGCATTTCTACTTGTTAGCACGATCATACGTGAAATATAAAATGACGTTCCTAAACTTAATCATTAGAACATAAAATTGACTATAATTCAGGAACTAAGCAAAGTAAATCATACCTTTATATGAACTTTTATTTTTCGGTGTTAAATTTATCCATAAAGCTTTACTTATTAAAATATTTGCAAGTTTGTACAAATTTGTGTATTTTATAAAGTGGTTCTCGATTTAAAAAGAAGATCTATTGGCAAATCGTGTCAAACAGTGTTACATAAAAGGTCAGGATCATGTTTCATCAGATGCTGCATATTAATGAAGTAGAAAGTACTCTGAGCCAATACTTAACACCTTACCGACCGATAGCGGTTGATTAATCGGCTATCGGTCGGTAAGCGTTGGTCGGTAAAACAGTTGATTAATACGCTATCGGTCGGTAAGCGTTGGTCGGTAAAACAGTCGATTAATAGGCTGTCGGTCGGTAATGTGTTAACATGAAGTATAATGATAAATGAAATATTGCAATGGTGCATAACTATAGCATCGCTATAATTTTCAAGAGTTTTGTAGTTGTAACTAATGATTTCTAAATGTTAATAATACCACGTGAAAGGGACTAGAAAAGAATTATAATCAATGGAAAAAATAGGAAAATAACATTTATTTAACGTGAAGTATAATAATAAATGAAATATTGCAATGGTGCATAACTATAGCACCGCTATAATTTTCAAGAGTTTTGCAGTTGTAACTAATGATTTCTAAATGTTAATAATACCACGTGAAAGGGACCAGAAAAGAATTATAATCAATGGAAAAAATAGAAAAATAACATTTATTTAACACTTTACCGACCGGTAGCGGTTGATTAATCGGCTATCGGTCGGTAAGCGTTGGTCGGTAAAAAAGTCGATTAATAGGCTATCGGTCGGTAATGTGTTAATAATACATATCGACAAATAATCATTAATAAGGCAATTGAAGATGACTCGAGCAGAATACTGTACGAAATTCAGTTAATAAGACACAGTTCCTATTGTGGCGTGTATCTATATATATATCGTTTCATGTATAGCTATATAACTCTCACAAGAGTTCCACGGAGCTAAATAATAAAAAAAAAAAAAAAGAGACACAGTTCCAGTAGCTGCAAAAACTATTTTATAAAATTTTTACAGCCGAAGTACTGACATTCAGGCCCTTTGCGGCATTCGTCGCATACTAATGCAAAATATTCCTGTAAATGTTTAGGGCGCTCTCTTCGAGTCCCCTCACATGGACGAAAACGACGTACAAACGATCTCACACAAATGCGAGGTGCTACCGCTTCAGGAATACACGGACAAGTTGGGCAAAGAACCACACAGATACCTGACGATCTACGACAACAACGACATTTACTATTTGGCAGGCTACTACGACCCCACCACATATTTGTTGACGATGCAACCGGGGGTTGTTTGAGAACAGCTAAAGCTGACGATTAAGTTAACGGGTGTTACTTAATTCACGTCAGCGGAACGTAACGCGAAATTAAATAGTAAGCCGTGGCCGCCGCGGTTGGCGCCCACGCTCGAACTGCGATGCGCGCGCACCGAGGGAACAGGCTCGAGTTACGGAGCCGGAGCCAAAGTCACTGGATGATTTTGATATGCGCGTCAGACGTGCGCGGGAACGCGTCGCGCGAACGTACGCGTACGAGTTTTACACGTTCACGGACGATTAACGAGAAAATTTACATTTCACACATTATCGCGATTCATTATCACACGGGTGTACGAACGTTCATTCGGTGATCACCGCCGGACCCGAACATTATTTATTATCGAAATGTACGGAGACATGTTGATTAGGTTAAACCGTCGATCACATCATTTTTTTTTTTTTTTTTTCTACGGTTACATTGTTACGTTAATTTTCCTCTTAACCGGGTTAAACGGAGACGACGTAGGTTATTTTTTACCAGTACCTACGGCGTCGAAAAACGCGATCGTTGATTTACCAGTTCGCGACTATAGTATTCCCGCGTATTTTTTCTAAGACTATCTTTCCCCGCTATTGTGATTAAATACCTACTGAGATTCGCTCGTATGCGACCACAAAAACAGTGCCGCAAGATTTCAGACGTCTTACCTATATAAGCGTGCAATGACATTATTTTACCGTTCAAGCGAAATATGTGATTACTAATGGTATTGTGATAGATTTATACGATACAACCAGCGAGAGGGGCTGAATTGTTTCGGCGCATTACAGGGCACAATCGGTGTTTCAGTAAGACTTCCACGTTTCGAGGATGAACCGTGTGGGAAGTTGGATCGAATCGGAGGCTTGTGCCTTGCGTAACAGAGTCAAGAAGAAATGAGCATTGGACGTATGATGATTAACGGTTACGGAACAGATGCATGTAAATATATATAGTATGTATGTATAGGAGAGATGCAATAAGTATACGGTGTGGCATTACGAAGACTCTTTGATCAAATGTTTTATCGACTGTATATAGAGATAGTCTACGTACGTTGTACATAAATGTTAAGTGCGTATTGAAATGTGATCGGACTCGCGTCCGATCGTTAATCGTTAAACCGGTGTTAATATTATTGTCCAAACAGCGAGAAGAGAGATATTTCGTGGTAACCGTGTAACGCGTTCACGCGCATGCGTACACGGTATTTACGATAGTACTTAGATTAAGAACCACCTTCTCGCGTCCATTGCTCCATTATCGACTTCGGTCCTCGTTGGACACGAGCGGGGATTTTATTTCACGACGATTAGAGAATCGGTAGATCCGAGAGAGTCGATACGAGACAAAGGTGCTACAGATAAACATTTTTCGTCGAGCCGAATTACGTGCAAAACTTGTTAGGATTAAGGCATTTTCTATCAGGTCGTTTTTATACTTCTCCCCCCCCCCGGCGAGAAGAACATGAGAGCAACGACTACTCTCAGTCTCGCGTTTTCCCCTTTTATTTCGAGACGATGGAAGCACTTCTGATCGTGTTCCAACGATTGTTTCAATCCCGGGTGTCTGTCTTCTTGCCGCGCATGCGCGAACGGGGTTTAACAGGAATGGCTGCTCGTAGCGAAACGAGGCATTGATATTAGTACAAACTGCAGATACAATAATTAACCACGCGATTCCAGTAGCGTTTAGACCGTGAATGCTGGAAAGCTACGAAAATTTACCTCCGATGGAATCGAAAATTTCAATGATTAACGCGTGAATATTTCTGACATTACAAAAATATATTAAAAATTCTCAAGATCAGAGGTTAAAAAAACTGAGTGTAGATTGGAGCGTTGAAGTTCAACGAGACTGTAAAAATAAGTGGGCGCACTGGTTCTCAATTATCAAAATTTTAAAAGTTAGGTCTGCGCAATCAACGTGTTGATGCAAAGATACGTATGTAATGAAATTTTCAAATATTGTTCGGTTGCGGTAGGATGCAATTTAAGTTCACTTTTTGCGGGACATTTGCTATCATTTTATCATCAGTTTATTTGTTAGTTTGTATCATTGTTGTACATGATTTCGTGAAATGGAGTCTCGGTTAGAGGTTTAAAAAACTGAGTCTAGATTGGAGCGTTGAAGTTCAACGAGACTGTAAAAATAAGTGGGCGCACTGGTTCTCAATTATCAAAATTTTAAAAGTTAGGTCTGCGCAATCAACGTGTTGATGCAAAGATACGTATGTAATGAAATTTTCAAATATTGTTTGGTTGCGGTAGGATGCAATTTAAGTTCACTTTTTGCGGGACATTTGCTATCATTTTATCATTAGTTTATTTGTTAGTTTGTATCATTATTGTACATGATTTCGTGAAATGGAGTCTCGGTTAGAGGTTTAAAAAACTGAGTGTAGATTGGAGCGTTGAAGTTCAACGAGACTGTAAAAATAAGTGGGCGCACTGGTTCTCAATTATCAAAATTTTAAAAGTTAGGTCTGCGCAATCAACGTGTTGATGCAAAGATACGTATGTAATGAAATTTTCAAATATTGTTCGGTTGCGGTAGGATGCAATTTAAGTTCACTTTTTGCGGGACATTTGCTATCATTTTATCATCAGTTTATTTGTTAGTTTGTATCATTGTTGTACATGATTTCGTGAAATGGAGTCTCGGTTAGAGGTTTAAAAAACTGAGTCTAGATTGGAGCGTTGAAGTTCAACGAGACTGTAAAAATAAGTGGGCGCACTGGTTCTCAATTATCAAAATTTTAAAGGTTAGGTCTGGGCAATCAACGTGTTGATGCAAAGATACGTATGTAATGAAATTTTCAAATATTGTTTGGTTGCGGTAGGATGCAATTTAAGTTCACTTTTTGCAGGACATTTGCTATCATTTTATCATTAGTTTATTTATTAGTTTGTATCATTATTGTACATGATTTCGTGAAATGGAGTCTCGGTTAGAGGTTTAAAAAACTGAGTCCAGATTGGAGCGTTGAAGTTCAACGAGACTGTAAAAATAAGTGGGCGCACTGGTTCTCAATTATCAAAATTTTAAAAGTTAGGTCTGCGCAATCAACGTGTTGATGCAAAGATACGTATGTAATGAAATTTTCAAATATTGTTTGGTTGCGGTAGGATGCAATTTAAGTTCACTTTTTGCGGGACATTTGCTATCATTTTATCATTAGTTTATTTGTTAGTTTGTATCATTATTGTACATGATTTCGTGAAATGGAGTCTCGGTTAGAGGTTTAAAAAACTGAGTCTAGATTGGAGCGTTGAAGTTCAACGAGACTGTAAAAATAAGTGGGCGCACTGGTTCTCAATTATCAAAATTTTAAAGGTTAGGTCTGGGCAATCAACGTGTTGATGCAAAGATACGTATGTAATGAAATTTTCAAATATTGTTTGGTTGCGGTAGGATGCAATTTAAGTTCACTTTTTGCAGGACATTTGCTATCATTTTATCATTAGTTTATTTATTAGTTTGTATCATTATTGTACATGATTTCGTGAAATGGAGTCTCGGTTAGAGGTTTAAAAAACTGAGTCCAGATTGGAGCGTTGAAGTTCAACGGGACTGTAAAAATAAGTGGGCGCACTGGTTCTCAATTATCAAAATTTTAAAAGTTAGGTCTGCGCAATCAACGTGTTGATGCAAAGATACGTATGTAATGAAATTTTCAAATATTGTTTGGTTGCGGTAGGATGCAATTTAAGTTCACTTTTTGCGGGACATTTGCTATCATTTTATCATTAGTTTATTTGTTAGTTTGTATCATTATTGTACATGATTTCGTGAAATGGAGTCTCGGTTAGAGGTTTAAAAAACTGAGTCTAGATTGGAGCGTTGAAGTTCAACGAGACTGTAAAAATAAGTGGGCGCACTGGTTCTCAATTATCAAAATTTTAAAAGTTAGGTCTGGGCAATCAACGTGTTGATGCAAAGATACGTATGTAATGAAATTTTCAAATATTGTTTGGTTGCGGTAGGATGCAATTTAAGTTCACTTTTTGCGGGACATTTGCTATCATTTTATCATTAGTTTATTTGTTAGTTTGTATCATTGTTGTACATGATTTCGTGAAATGGAGTCTCGGTTAAATTTTTAACAAATCTTCAGTTTATAACACAAATGATAAGAAGTGTGTATTTACACACACACGACGCTCTGGAATTATAATGGCGCCTTGGAAACCGAGTCTAGATAGGAGTGTAAAAATAAGTGGGCACGCTAGTTCTCAATTATCAAAATTTTAAAGGTTAGGTCTGGGCAATCAACGTGTTGATGCAAAGATACATAATGAAATTTTCAAATATTGTTTGGTTGCGGTAGGATGCAATTTAAGTTCACTTTTTGCAGGACATTTGCTATCATTTTATCATTAGTTTATTTATTAGTTTGTATCATTATTGTACATGATTTCGTGAAATGGAGTCTCGGTTAAATTTTTAACAAATCTTCAGTTTATAACACAAATGATAAGAAGTGTGTATTTACACACACACGACGCTCTGGAATTATAATGGCGCCTTGGAAACCGAGTCTAGATAGGAGTGTAAAAATAAGTGGGCACGCTAGTTCTCAATTATCAAAATTTTAAAGGTTAGGTCTGGGCAATCAACGTGTTGATGCAAAGATACATAATGAAATTTTCAAATATTGTTTGATTGCGGTAGGATGCAATTTAAGTTCACTTTTTGCGGGTCATTTGCTATCATTTTATCATCAGTTTATTTGTTAGTTTGTATCATTGTTGTACATGATTTCGTGAAATGGAGTCTCGGTTAAATTTTTAACAAATCTTCAGTTTATAACACAAATGATAAGAAGTATGTATTTCCATATACATAACGCTCTGGAATTACAATGGCGCCTTGTAAACTGGCCAAAAGTTGAAACGAAGTAGATCTTCTAGATTAGAAATCTTTGTGGGATAGTAACCAGCCAATTTCCAAGGCTTCGTTTTACCTAATCGGTTATTCACATGTACTCGTGAAAGTAAACGTGTTAATCGAGATTTGGAACAATTGATAACATTATTATCGCCGATCGAAAGATTCGTCACGGAGGCAATTTTCGTAGCTAAACCCACAAGTACCTATATCGAGGTGCGCGCGATCCTTTTCGCGTTGTAAATAGGGCCTGTAAGTGTGCGTATCTTGGACACGGCCCGACCAGCTATAGGTTACGATTTCTATTTCTGATTGTACATTAACTGTTATATCGACACGACACGCGGCGTGGTCGAGCCTCGTCGTTTCGTTCGGGATCGGTGACCCGATTTGAATCGCGCGCGGCGAGTGCGATCCTGTATATTGCATAGTATTTTTCCAATCAAGGTCAAAGAAAACTCGGAAAAGAAAAAAAAAAAATATGACGGGGGTTCCTCGGGCTTGTGATTCACGGCTGTTACGAGGGACAAACGTTTTCATCGGGACGCTCGAAAGAGGAACGTATATGTAAATAGAAAATTCAAGCGTCGCTCGATCGAGAACGATTTGTACGCGGAACATTCGTCGAGAATTACTGCTCGGGGACACGAACGAACGCTTACAGGCTAACGCGTGTTTCCTCGACGACGATTTCACGACGATTTTTCCTCAACGCTTCGATTCTATGAGAAGCAGCCTACTCGTAGACAAACGTAGTCGAGGCACTTTCGCTTGTAGATTTGTAAATAATAGCCTTAGATAGATCGAAGAAAATGTCGGTGTCCTCGGTACTTTTTTTTTTTTTATACATCCCCGATCGATTTCGTGATCGACTTGGGGGGGAAAAAAGAAACAGGTCTGCTCGGTCGACCAACTTCGCCGTTGAAAATTATTCGCTCGTTGTATAAAACGCAGCTTTGTACGAAAGTTGCACGAAACATAACCTAAAACAATCAACTTTTTATTTTGATCCAATTTTTGTCAACTTTGGAACTCGAGACTGTGCAGAACTGAATAAAAAGGAATTTCCAATTTTATAGTTTCGTAAACGTAAAAAAGGTTATGTTCGTTATGTTGGAGAATTTACGTTTCGCCGTGTTCGATGGAACTTTGAAAGAATGTTTAAATAACTGTTTATTTTCATTCGATACTCTTCCATATATGAAAGTAAAATTTTCATAGAAAAACAAGATCGAAAATAGGTTATAATTGCACTAAATTTAAGAATCGGCTTACGAGTAATTTAAGGTGGTCGGGTTATAGGTTAGGTTGGTCGAGTTGACAGCAACGAGCGAAAGTGTAATCGTGCAAGACAATGTGCTCCGCGTTTTCTTAATATTCCCATGCGAATAGCAGGAATTCTTATACCGCGATGCCCAATTACGTTAATTTTTGTTAAACGGAGGTATTCTTTAATTCTCATCTATCGCTTTCTAGTTAGAGGTATTATTTTTCGTCTGCCAATTATATAGTTCCCGCGCGTTACAAAAGATACGTATCGGTTCAAATTAATTT